AGTAGTGTACTGCGCATGTCTAAGAATAGTTTCCCACATTCTTGGGGTCTATCTACTGATAAGAGCCAGCTGAAACTGCTCATGAAGCTTCCAGCTATTCTGCCATCTCCCAGGGTACAGGAGTTCATTCCTAAGTAGGCCGAGCAAGCAGTGTTATAAAATCGCATTCGTCATGCTAAAGGATAATGTTTTCTTCACATCACTGGCATTCCCCATCTGACTGTGGGACTTCAGCGCCCCTCCCACTGTATGAGAGGACAGATACCAATAAGAATGTTAGTTTTGGTTTTGATTTGACTGGCTCAGCCAGTCAGGTGAATTAATAACTTGATTTTATTACTTAGAATCATACAATCATAGAGTTGGAATGGACCTCCAGGGACATCTAGTCCAACCCCCTGCACAAGGCAGGAAATTCACAAATACCTTCCCCTCCACATCCACAGTGACTGCCGTTCCACGCCCAGAAGATGACAAAAAAACCTCCAGGATCCCTGACCAAACCGGCCTGGAGAAAAATTACTTCATGACCCCAAAGTGGCAACCAGCATTTCCCCAGGTGTATAAGAAAGGGCCACGAGAACTAAGCACTGAGGCAACCCTTCCTGCCCTCCCTCTCATGATCTGCCTAAGTTCACAGAATCCGCATTGCTGTCAGATGGCCATCCAGCCTCTGTTTGAAAACTTCCAAAGAAGGGAGGCAGGGTCTACAGCACAGCGATGGCGGATGCCTTTCCCAGCTCTCTGGGGGGGGGGGGAGGTGCCGCTGGATCGGCACCTCCATGGGGTCCTCCCTGTAAAGGATTCTGCCCTTCAAGCCTGTCCAGGAATGAGAGGGAACCCTATACTTTTTCAATACATTAAACAACAACCCGGAGAGGTAGGCTTCCCTCTCTGGATTCAGAACAATTTGCCACCAGAACCTCTACACTTAGTCCCTCACCAGCCTGAGATTAGAGATTCCAGACTCTCAGTTGGCATCTGGGTTTTACACAGCACCTCTATCTAGAGATGCACGCTTAATTCTTACAAAGGTAGCTTATATGGTGAGCAGAAGGCACAGGGGTTTAGCCTTGGAACTCAGTTACACATCAGAGACCATTTAGAAATAATCAGGTCTTTATTCAGTTCAGAGTCTTGCAAATAGACTACAAAAGATTTCAAAACAACAAGCCTAAGGCAGTTTGTCTTAACTACACAGTAAGGTACATAGTTACCATATCAGGAACATCTACAGTCCAGGGTTCCAGGGGATCTTGAAGGGAAAGCCCATTTTTGCACACCATGT